TTGGATTTACAATGTATTGTCAGATTGGCTTCAATTACATGATGAAGACAATTGGCTGAGAGTATGACAATGAGTTGCGAAAGAATATAAATATAACAAAATTGTGATATGAATCCAATGAATCCATAATTTGCATAATTATAAGGCGAAGAATTGGTTTCAAAATGATATCGAGTTATGACTTCATATAAAATATGATTGTCATGTATTTGTACGCATTTTGAATGTTTGCATATTTCTTTTATGTTATTATTTGCAAATTCAAAGCCGTAATAGTCTTTGAAACTATCAAACAAAACATTATATTTTATTAGATTTTTCTCTATTTATTTACTTATTATTTATTGTTTTAATCGATGAAAAACCTGGATCTAAGAAAATGATGTCTTAAGAAAAGTAAAATAAATTGCCAACATATTTATTATAATAATAATAAACAGAAATATTAAAGACTTGTATTGGAGTTATATTATTAGAATCGCGTAAATCAAACATTAGTCGTATTTCTCATAAATATTTACTAAATATTTATGAAATAAGAATTTAAATAAAACAAAAGTAATTCATATTAAATAAGCAATTCTTGTATAAAATCATTAAATATAAACTTCCATAAATTAATATCAAAGAGAATTTTGAGTTTAATAATAAAACTCAATTACAATAATTCACAGATATATTTGGATTTAAATTATATTTTCATATGATTTTCATTATATATAAAATTTGCTTTATATTCATAAATTGGACCATCATTTGTTTTTAAATCAATTCTAAATAATATAGCTTAATAGCATTTTTAAATTTATTTTATTGATATAGTTTATTTTTTACTCATTTAGAAAATTTTCAAAACATAAATAAAATTCACTTTCTATAATCGTCATCTATAAATATATTATAACGACATTTAAATAATAATTTCAAATTGATTGCTATTTATGTGATTGACATTTAAGTTATTTTTGTTAAGAATATAATATTATAATATTAGTTTTTGTATTTTTATTATGATGGTAAACTGATAAAAATAGTTTGCGTTAATTATTGTGATTTAAAATATAATAAGTATAAAAATCTATAACTATTCTATTAAAACATAAATATCGTATCAAAAATTATTATTACAAATAAACAATTATTAGTTAACTTTAGTCTAATATAATTGATACTCTATTTTAATATAAGTGTCAAATTAAAACTCAAATCAAACACCAAAATAAATGCTCACAAAACTCTATGAGCCGGCAAACTATCAAATGAATCATTCACTAATTATTTTCAATGATTTATTGCTCGTTAGAATGAGTGGTTAAATGAAAATAAATTATCAATTAAATGCTAAACACACTTCTTATGTCTTTCTATGTCATCTCTTTCTACCATTTTATTCACAAAGAATTTAGTATTAGTTTTAAAAAAATTAGTGAACACATGACTTGTAAATTCACATTTATTTAGATGACAAATTTCATAGTAATCTAATTTGAGCATCGAAAATGGGAATCAATTTTAAAATAAATGGTAAAATGTAAAACATAAGATTGTATTCTGGATAAAATAAGTTCATTTGCTTTGATGTTGACATTTGTAGAAGATTACTTTAAATAATATTGTTATTCATTTTATGATTCTTATATCATAATACTAATCACAAGTGTTAATTACACATGGTCATACATATTTACACTAAAACCAAGTGTTTTTGCGTAACAAGAATGAAAAGATTGTGTCCAAGGTATTTTGACATTTAAGCCAAATAGTGGCACAAACTGTTTGTCTTTTCCCTCATTCCCTCATACTTTACTCACTTTTTACTGCTTTTAATCAATAGATGTTTACCAACAAAACAACACTTTTATCCCTATATAGTATTATATCTTATACTGTATTCTGAACTGTATTGTAAATACTTTATTATATAAATAAGTATTTCTTATAATCTTCTCTATTCTAGACATGCAGTCCTCACCCCATCCTTCTCTATATGGACTTAATCTGAGAAATCATATGAAATTCATTATATTACTACTTAACAAGTAATTAATTAAATGAAAAGTACAACAAATGTAATGAAAGCAAACATTCATTTGTTTGTCTCATTATATATTCAATGGTTTGCTATTCTCCTCACTCCTCAGTATATTTATAAAACCAATTATTTAATAATAGTTTCAATTGCTTTGTAGTTCAAACATTCTGACAATCGATACTTTTTTCATTTATACCGACAATCATTTCATAGCAACTTTTCAAAAAATGTATTATATATTTGAATGCAAATGTATTTTTATTTGTTGCCGTTTTATGTATTTTGTTTGCACGTCTCATATAAGGTATATAAGGTATTACTGTAGCATAGATATGATGTACTCAATTGTATTATGAATTAAAACTTTGTATAATATATGACAAACTAGATACATGGTGTGGACAGTACTTTATAATTGGTATATTTGTGTACAATTGTGATCCAAATGGCATTTAAATGAAATGAAAAGATTTAGCGTGACTTTGGTTTGACAGAAGTGTAACTCATGTACTCATGTAGTCATGTAATGACAGTTAGATTCGTCACGTTCTCTCTTCTTAGACTTAAATTCATTTCCAATTAAACAATAGATTCTCACAAATAATATAACATACATTGAAATACAATGTAATGACCAGATTTAAGCATTTAATCTAAACAAATAATCGCTATTGAAAATACAATTAAAATATTTCATATCAACTGGTATACAATAATTGTATTGGAATTGAATTTAATAACGTTAATAATTACTGGGTTTATAAATTATCATTTTTATTAGCATTGTCTATAAACAACATATTGACTAAAATATAAAGGTTAATTTATATCAAATTAAACTTTTAAATGTTAAATCATAACTGTACATAACTGTAATTCAAAAATTTATTAACTCATTAATTTATTAATTATAGTAACAATCTATAAAAATAAAATGTAATTTAAACATTTGCAATTAACATTAAAATATTTAACTAATTGCAATTAAAGTATTTCCCAGTGGTAAACAAAAACTTGTCTATTGTATAAATTAATTCAATTATTTGATATGAAATAGAAATTACGGATAAATACAGTACATTGCTTAATTGGTACTCATAGGCTGCATATCTATACTTTTGTATATTAGCAGCATTTTAATTAAATGAACGTTTTTTAAAATACAGTTTAAATATTTAATTAGGAGTTATTGCACATCGTATTAACTAATCAGAGTATTATCCGTATCACAAAATTAAACAAATTATTAATATAGCAAAACTCATTATAGGCTAAGCTTTTAATCATATATTATTATATATAAATAGTAGTCATCGAACCATAAATTGAGATAAATGTCAGAATCAATAGGCAACACATTTTTTATTAGAGTATAATTAAAATAATTAAACATTTTCGTAATGATATTAATACCAATGATGTGTACAATAAAAAATATATTCCTCATTTCTGATTAATATATTCTCAATTCAACGATTATTGACACAAATTATTAAAATTTTTAAATATTCGATCGAAGGATCAAGGAACATACAAAAATCACATACAGTATAATATACTATACTACTAATATACTATATTATAGTCAAATGTGCCAAATCCTCACAAATATTAAATATTAAATTCATTTATTATTGTGCTGGTTAAGTTCTAAAATTACTATAAAAATCGTGAATATTTTCGGAACTTTTAGATAATGTTTTGATTTGAAAAATTATTCATATTTGTACAGTATAAGAGTTAAAAATTGTATCTGGCTAAATATATATTCATAATTCCAATTCAATTTATTATTTATCAATTCAACTTAAAATATTTGTATTGGTTTTCAATATTTTGTTAAATGTTTTACATGGGATACAAAATAGCTAAAATTGGTAAAATACCCTCAATTGCATTGTTTTTCAATAAAATAGAAAATTTATTTAAAATAGTTACTTTCAATACAAAACAAAAATCGTGTAATGCTTTCGTAATCATTTTACTACTGTATATTGAATCTAAAATCTTGTATTCTAACAAGTACTATAAGTGTTACACTAAATCCTGAGGTTTAATATTCAATATTCATTTATATTATCAAAAGTAGGTATTTTTGCTTTTATAATTATTATTGTAATTATAATTTATTACAAAGATATAATAAATAAACAATTATAACGACCTTGGGAAAAATACTGTGTTTTACAATTTATATAAAGTAATTAATTTTAATAAACAAACTGTTGTTATAAAAGGCAACTTTTTCTCCGTCACAACCCATAAAACAATTGGAGAAATAGAAGACAAATATAAATACATGACATTCTTTGAACTCTGCCTTAAAAGTCATCATTAATTTAATAATAACATCAGAGTTACTCGAAAGTAAATTACAGCTCATTTGAAAATTTGAGTGAATTAAGATTTGTTTAAATTTATTGCAAACTTTATATTCTATACACTAAGAAATTGAGTGAGTGAGTGTGTGTGTGAGAGAGAGAGAGAGAGAGAGAGAGAGAGAATTATTTATTATTAGAATATTTTTGTCTTCAAAATTCATTGAAAAGTGAGTTGAAGTGAAAGCATTTCTTATAAGTTTTGAAATTAATAATATGTTAAGTGAATGGTAATAATCTTTTGCAAACATGACTTCCATTGAGTTATATTTAGTCCGTTGGGCTCAACACTTGCAAACTTAAACTCATTTCACTTTTGTCTGTCAACACATATGTTATGCAAGTTTTGCGATCATATCTTTTATTTATTCTCACATACGATCTGTCAGTTTGCGAGTAATTTGCTTCATATATAATTCATAATTCATTAAATAATATTCTCTAATATTCTATAAAACGATATAAAATTTGACATTTTGTGAGTTAACTTTCACACATCATAAGAGTGATTAACTAAGCAAGGTGGTGTCCAAAGTTAAGGTATCGATAGAAGCCAACATTAAGGCAAAAGTGAAATGAATGGCAATGACTTACATTAAAAGGTGATAAGAGGCGGCGCGACAGCCCCGGGGTCTCTCCAAGAAGTTGTACAACACGTTCTGCAACTTGCGATACCTGGGGTCGCGGTGTCTGTACCCGGCTTTGAGAGGGCGTCCCAAGAGACTGGTTCGCGACACTTCCGATGAGGGCCGAGGAGTGCATCCGAAGGGGCCGTGCGTGCGGGCATAGCGCTCCCCGGCCTCAAGTTGTCGCAACTCCAACAGCGCGGCTTCCGGGTTGCAGTAGTCAAACGAAGGCAGTTTGGATGCCTGTCAGGCCTCCCGATCCCGACACTTGTTGGCCTCCACTAACACCCCATACACTCGGGTCACTGCCAACAGTGCTTACACTCCATGCACTCGAAATGTGTGAGACGTGTCAGACGTGTGCACCCATTCATACCACACAACCTCTGGTCCAGTGCTGACTCGTGAGCGCAGTTCACTGTAATCCGTACTCAACGTCCAAAAGTTGGGTTACTTTCAACACATCGACTGCTCCACTGAATCCCTATCTCATACCTGCGCTCATCTACCAGTGCACGCAATTCTGTACAGAATCGTACAGACAGTGTGTTTGTTTGCATCCGAGTCGTTATGGAGACACAACACTATCCTTAATAAGCACTCCTTATACTTAAACGAGGTCTAAGTTTTGCCACAATATATAACACAAAAATCAATTCATAGACATAATTGTATTCACTTTTATTGGCGAAAAATTTCAGTTCAATAAAATTTTATTACTAAATTGAATTCATATATTTTGTACTCATTGTAAGCTTACTAAACAAATGATAACCACTAATTGATGTTCAAAATATTTACTGTACTTCACATATAAATTTACATTGATTTGCAAAATACTTATCTAAGGTATGACGGGTCAAGGGATATTGTCTGTAAGGTGAATGAATGATTAAATGATGGTCAGTATTATTAGCATTTGACCTGGTTAATTGACATCTTTATCATTACATTGAATATATTTTGTGTATATACAGTATATTATTAAATTATATTTGGGCTTTAAAAAGTTCATTTAAAAGAAAATAAGTTTAAGTATTGTATTTGGAAACATATATAGGAATAAGGTTTAAAACTTATGAAATCAATTTCTCCTAAATTGTCACAAACGTTGAATATAACAGTGTTTTCATTATCATTTAGTTTTGTATTTCAGGTCAAGTTTAAAGCACAAGTACTTTGATCATTAATTCCAAGTTTGAGTTAATTTTATATAAATTTATACAACAATAACAGGAAAGATATTTGATTATCAAAATAATTACACAAATGTGACAAATGCTAGCATTCACTGCAACTAATGTCTGCAATGAATTCACAAACAAATAGAGGATTGAGAAAACTGTCGTATAATATGTCATCTTTAGTCCCCAATGAATGCAATGAATTATATGAGAATATGAGAAGATATGACCACTTATTTACTCTTATTATAGTCATTACTACTCATATACTCACGCTTTTAGTAAGCAATGTGTCTTTTATCCAAAGTAACTCATACTTATGTCCATTATTATATTCAATCAAAATTGGTGAACAAATCTTAATCATTAATTCTATAGTAATGTATATCCATTGGTTTTGGATACTACTGTATTACTGCACTCTACTGTACTCTCCTCTCAGTGTTTCAATTATTAAGTTTTGTTTTCTTCTAACGAATGAAATATTATTTCGATATAATTTAATCATCTTTTATGAAACTTTTAATACGGTATTAATACCGTAATATTTATGTTACTTAATGCAATCTTACTTCAAATTTTTAATTATGAATATAACTTCAAAAATTATATGTAATATCTTTACCTAGGCTGGATATCATTTTTACCTAGGCTGGATATCATTTTTACCTATTAAATAATATAATTAAAATATTAAATAATAGTATCATATCTTTGTATTACATATGAGAAGAAAATAGTATAATGGGCGTAGAGGTATAGCATCCAAACAGTAAAACATTTACAAACTTTATTTTTAATTTAAGTTTATAAATAATAACTAATTATTTTGATACAATTTTTATATAAATTTAAACAATTAAAACTTAATTACTTTTGTTTACAAATATTTGTTTCATTTATTAGCTCTACGCCTTTTATACTATTTTCTCCTCATATAGCATGTTGTAAACCGTATTATAAAAATATAGCAAATTTTAACTTTGGTAGTTTTTAACTTTTAGAGTTTTGATTGAAATAGAATATAAATTAATCTAGATGTTCTAAAACCTTTCCTCTATAATATAGAGTCTATATCTAATTAAAATTTGTGTCAGGTTTGGATTGTATCTTGGTAAATTTTAAAGAAATATTTATAATAAAACAAATAGAATTGTATATAAAATTACAGTATGCTAATCAATTTATGGAAAAACTCGTTATAATATACAAGACATTAAAAATTACATTTGGAACAATCATGACTTACAAAATAATTTTTTATATAAGTTATAAATGTTTTTAAATAAACTTTAAATAAAAAGTGGAAATTGAAATTTTAAATAAAACAATTATTTTCTTAGTTTAAGTTTTAAAGAGATTTTATGTTCGGGTATTATAATAAAACAGAATTTTAAGTCCAGTTTGGACTGAATGGCAGTTATCTCATACTTTTGGATGAGTTTAGCGGTCGACAAATACAACTCGAGCTCTGAGAAGCGTTTTCCAGCGCACATACGGTTCCCGTAACCAAACGGTAATAAAGCAAAGGCGTGGAACTCCTTCTTGCTTTCGTCTAACCATCTCTCGGGACGATAAGAGAGAGGATCAGCAAAATATTCACTTAATCTTGAAGTTACCATTAAATGCGAGAATATAATAGTCTGAATGAACAGAATTGAAATAATATATAGATATTGCAAGTGATATGAGATGTGAAAGAGTAATACATTTTGTGGGACGTGATAACCAGAGAGGACAGTGGGTTGGGGCAAAATTCTGGTGATTCCGGGAACAGTATTCGTGAGTCTAAAGCATTCCTTCACACATGCCTTGAGGTATGGCATGTCGGCCAACATGTCAGCAGTGAGCAGATGGCTGTCGCCCATCACTTGACTCACCTCTTGGAACAGTTTGTGTTGAACTTCAGGATTGGACGCCAAGTGATAGAATAGAAAGCAAAGAGTGTTGGAAACGGTGAATATTCCTCCGGCAATGAAATCAATGATTGTTATTTTAATATCACTCTCAGTCAAGCCTTCAGTGTTGAGTAGAGTTTGCAAAACACTTTGGTTAGCATTTGTTTGGTCACGAGTACTGCCATTAAAGCCCATTTGTATGTATTTGGAGGCGATTTCATAGATACAGGTTTCAGCCGAATCTAGTTTACGATAAGAATTGGTGGCAAATAGTTTCCAAAAGGGTATTCCGTAATACAACTCATTGTAACTCTCAAACAACAGCTTTGTGGCCGATATCAGCAGCTGTCCATCGCTTGTCGTTGTGTTGTCTTTTAAAAAGCAATGCAATCTTGAGTCCAAACACATCATACAAATGGATTCTAAGGCCAATCTATAGGTAGCATCCGATAAGTCATTCAATACATCATTACTGGGATCTCTTATTTGCCACAAGTAGTCAAGAAAGTCATCACAAATTTGATTTTGTGATGGGATATGATTTTGTATAACTTTCAGACTCATGAGTGCTGGTGCCAAGAGCTGTCTGTGTTGGTACCACTGCTCGCCCATCATATTAGAGAGACCAACGTTCGGGTATTTATGCTTATTCTGGAGTCTATAATGGGATACAAACTCATTGGCCGGTCTCATGGGACACTTGCCTTGACTCCTAAATACTGTCTCAAAGTCTTTGGGATCAAATATATGTATAATTGGTTTTCCCCATTCATATTCCTCCTTAACAATAGGTCCATAGGTGTCATACTTGTGTTGGTTAGCCTCATGTAGTTTGGATAAGTTGTATCTACCGACTACTCAAAGCACACAAAACCCGTTATAAGTAATACTCGCCTAAGCTGAATCCAAAGCTATGATATATTCATAGAAAACTTACTGTACTTGAAGTACTGCCATCCGGTTCCTATCCATGGAAGCGATGGTTTGGGTCCCGGAATGCAAACAAATTCTTTAATCACTTGTGAATCCAAACCAACCAAATCTCTTGATTCACTTGAGTCTTCATTTTGATGTCTATCAAATGACATTATAAGCACTCGTTTGTAAACTTAACTTTGTTTTATAAAAAACTAAAACTAAAATATTGAATACAGTTTAAGCAAATTCCAATAAATTAAGTTAGTCTTAATTAGCCCAGTACAACAAACAGATGTATGTATACAAATTATTTGTCACGATTTTTGTTATGAAAACACTTTGAACACAGAGTTAAGTGCCAAAAGTGGATATTTGTCGGTAATTCAACTTTCAACTGATTGTTATCAAAATATTTGCCAAACGGTAGTCCAATAGTTATGAGTTGTGGGAAAATAATTTTAGAAAACTTAACTCTAACTCCGTTTATGATATGAGGGCTCTCTCTCTCTCTCTCTCTCTCTCGCAAAAAACTTGTGCTTGAGTTCAAGGTTATGGAAAACTGGGAAACTGGAGGCCCAAAACGGTCTGGGAGTTTAGTATTCTTATATATATTGTATGAAATGTACAGCTGTTTTACTCAAAACTAGAGTTATAGTCAGTACAAAAATGTACATTGTTGAGCTTTTCAATATAAACTGGAGGCCCAAAACGGTCTGGGAGTTTAGTATTCTTATATATATTGTATGAAATGTACAGCTGTTTTACTCAAAACTAGAGTTATAGTCAGTACAAAAATGTACATTGTTGAGCTTTTCAATATACAGTATTGATAATTCATTACATACATTATTTTATAACAATATAAGTTATATCCCTTAATACACACTCTATTATTAGTGTTTTATTTATTCATTTATCTCATTTCTAATTAACAGATTTCCAAAAAAAATAATTTTATCACTAAATGACTGACATATCGTACGATATTAGCCAAGAACTAAGTACAGTACTGTACGATCATAATTAGTTTTAAGCATAAATGAGAGTCCAAAAAGTTAACAAATAAGGTAGATAATGATGCTACAGTACAACACAAATTACTAAATTATGTACGTTACTTATAAAAAGATACAGTATTATTGCAAGGGTATGGTTGTGTTGAGGGAAAGGCTTAACAGTATCCCTCGTCAGGCATTCTGAAAACACAATGAGTTTAGAGTAGTGTGTCTGAGGAATGGGATGCTATTTGTTATGTAAAATACAATAAGACTCTTACGGTATCGTATCGTTGACTTTTATTGAAAATATAAGTTAAATTATGTAAAAATATACCAAATTTGATGACAAATCTTTCCATGCTACATGTTATTCATTGAAATCACAAACTTAGAAATTTGTTACAAATATTAATATAGAATTATCTCAATGTTTAAGTTAAATGATAAAATATATATACAATGTATATAATCTGTAACTTAATATAAAAAACATATAACAATAATCGCGTGAATTACACAATAATTAATATACAGCAAGCATTGCTTAGAATTATATAAACAAAATGATTGAAAGCCAAAATAATTTACATAATCATAAAGATATGGTTTGAAAATAGACTAAATATAAGTGATAATTATCTAAAATAAACTAAATTGAGAGAATGAGTGCAAACAAATGGTTAGTAATCGTCGTCATCGTATTCATAATCCATATCATTGTCACCCGTCTCTATTCCAAGCAGTTCTTGGATTGAGAACTCTTTACGTTTGTTGTTATCGTCTTCTTCTTCGTCAGAATCTTCTTCTGTTTCATTGTTTACCATTTCATCCAATCTTTCGTTCGATTCTTTAATACCCGACTCTTTGGCCAACATTTGTGGATCATTCACATCATCGGTGTCTTTGGAGTCGCCCTCTAATGAAGTGGACTTCGAGTTCAAAGATTTCATTTTGAGTTTATTAAAGAGCGGCGCCTTTAGGTTCACGAGCGATGTGTTGGCGCTGTTCTTCAATGTTGTCAATCTTTTGAGTGGACTTTGAACTACTTTTTGGTCATCAGATTCGACACATTTGTCCAAACTTTTAATTAGAGGTTCCGGTGCTTTGAAACTTGCAGTAGTTTTGCCAAAAGTCGGATTCAAGTTCTTAAGCACTTCGTAATTGATTTTATTCGAGATTTTCTTCTCGAGTAACATCTTCTCAATGGCTTCTGAGGCACTGTTGGCCTGGATTTGAGTCTTTTTGCGACTCTTCCTCTTCTTTTTGGGCGCCACCTCTCCGGACGCCTCCTTTCGTTTGCGTTCTTCTTCTTCTTTCACTTTCAATTCCTCTTTGAGTTTCAATTCTTCCAAATAGTCTTTATGAACGCGAGTCCACACATTTGTCTTCGCATCGATTTCATCTGTCGATAACAGATAGCCATCTAATTCGCTGTCATCGATGCCCGTGAGGTCCAGTTCCTCGCTTTCGTTCACATCTTGTAATTCTTTTTTGTCGTTATTGTAGTCATCCCTTTGAATGACAGAAGTTATGCCTAAACTGGCGGCGGTTGGTCTCAAACACTTAATACTCTCCATATAATTATCATAATTATTGGTGTCGTCTTCATTGAGCACCTGTTCAATGGTGTGGACGGTGTCGTCCAAAATGAACTGTTCGACCGCCGAGTCCTCACTCTTGGGCGCAGAAGTGGTCGCTTCGGGACTCAAATATTTGGAGAAAGGATTTCGCAATTTTTGACGACTTTTCTCTAAATCCTTTTCAATAAGTTTTTGCAAATGAGTTATTTTGGACTGAATTTCCTCAATCTGTTGTTCGCTCTCGAATTGACACGACTTTTGTTTGCGTTTATTGGCCTTAAAACAGGGCGGGTCCTCCTCGCCCTCCAAGTCTATAGTCATGAACTCATCTAAAGTCAGATTACTTGTCGGCGTTTCACTGAATTCACACAAACGCTTCCGAATGGTTGTCTCACAAACTTTCACCACTTTTATGATGTCTTTTATAGAACAGTGCACTTCGTTGAGACGGGCGGCCACTAGGATGGCGGCCCCACACAGACCTGACGGTCGCCTCCCGTAATGCATCCAATCTCTCTTCATTCGCTGCACCAATCGATTGGCCGTTGAGATCACGTTATTCCGCATTCTCTCCACTTCTGTGTTACTCTTTTCGCCTAAATATAGTCAATAATACAAGTCATCACAACTCTGCCAATGCCTCCAATGCTTACAAACGCATCCCAACCCCAACCCCAACCCCAAACTCATACCTAAGTTCAAGTGTTGCGCAAACCTAATGATGTAAAGACTGGGATCAATGGCAGGAATGGTGATACAGAGGGCGGCCGTGAGCTTGAGGTAAGTGCGGCCCAACTCATAGACGTTGACCTGCGAGACGTCGCTGAGGTCGAGCAGCATATGAGGGGTGCCTTCACTGCGACACGTGATGTAAATACAGGCGGCGATCACATGGATGTGTTTGCGGCCGTGGGTTAGCCTCCGATTGAGAGCCATTTTGTAGAAATTAAAGGCCATTTCGATGAAGTGCTCGTTGAGTCTCAACTGATCGCAAACCGTTTTGATCCGTCGTTTGGCGTTCATAAGAGTCACTTGTCTTGACTCACGTCCCGCTCCAAGAATGCCTCCAATACTATGGTATCAATGAATGGGTGAATGAGTGGCCAATTGGACAAAGAGTGAACCAAACCTGAATGACTTGAAGGCGGACTCCGTGTCATGTCTTTGTCCGATGATATGTGCGGACCCGTGGGTGCCCTCCGAGAAGAGCACTTCCGAGACGATGCAGTTCTGGTCGATCACGAAACCACATGAAGTGCAATACGTGTCGCCACGACTCGACTCGAACTCCACTTCATTGGACCCACAGTTACCACACGTGACCGTCGATGACATGATTGTGTCGACTGACTCGCAGTCAGATGGGTTCGGGTCTTATGTCTTGGAGTGGATGGATGTGATGGATGTGACAGTCAAGTGATGTTTGCAGACAAACACAACACTCTCTACACGTTTCATAATCTACACGATTTGTCCCTTTTATTATACACAACAACTATTCGTACAGTATTAATGCTGTTTGCTTATTAAAGGACCAAATTGTGGGCAAATGTACCTTTATATGATACACAACGGGTTCTACTGCATTGCCATATATTGTGGACCAATATATGTCGCGTCTCTATCCGTCTTCATGACATATGTCGGACATATGATGAACTGAAACTGTGGACACATTTCCAATATGTACGGTCATGTCATCAAATATGTCATATGCCTCGTGAAAGCGTGTAGAAGGCTATGATAGATACAGTACTGTAGTGACTACAGTAGACTCTACTGTAATAATATCTAACAGGCCAATTGAAATTAGCAACATATAGTACAGAACTACTGCCATAATTGGCTATTTGCCATCAATTCATAATTCGTAATTCATATAAGTTATATTATTAACTATAATCAAATGTAATCTATACTATAACCAAACTCATCCAAATGACAACTCTTGTCCAACAAACGGACATAACATGTTAGAGCACGTGGTTTGATGTCAAATGACTGCAAACCATTTACAGTTATATTGAATAACTTAGTCTTATATCACAGAATATTCTACAGTATACTCACGTCTCGTATACCATTAGAATATATGTAGTGTTATACTAACGATAATTGTCAAACCAATTATTTGTATACATTTATATTCAATTGGTCTCTTATGGGAAAATACAGTTAATCGCTTATAAATTATATGATCATTATATAAAAAGACTCTAGGCCAAATTGGGCACCCATTGGTCAAGTGATTGTCTGTAGTGAGCTGTAAATGTACCAGGGTTTAACAGCTTGGTTGTTGTACATTACCTACCCGGTTGTGTAGAATACAATACAATGGATAAAAATAAACAAATCATAACAAATACCTGCCTTTTATTCATAATTCAAATTCAATTCCAGACCAAACAATTAGTTTTACACAAAAAACACAATAAAATATAATTACAATTAAATCAATGAATTTAATTGAAAAATGTATGTTTGTTTAAAAGTTTCAAACAGTGGTTTGAGTAATATGTTGACAAAGGGATGCAAAATATGTAACGATTTGTGAATATAGGGCATACGGTAATAGTGTTATGTTATGTGTAGCTAATGTTATGTCTCATATAATTAATAATATATAATAACAGTATTTTATACTATACTGTACTGTATATTAATAAAACTATAAATAATAATCGTCTAATAAATGTGCCAATATTTGAGAACATGATTTCAATTGATTTATTTTAAAATTAAATTAATTAATGAATCGATGATTTGTGGGTTAATGTGTGTATACTTTAAACAATTGTTCAATACTTGCAATACATTCAACGGTTTAGTATTTCTTTGAGAGATGACTAAATTGTCTATTCGTATGGTTTATGAGGAGAGTGTGAGTCTTCTTAAGCAAAATACATCACTTTCGTGGTGTCGGGATGTACTGTCACCGCACGGGTCAACGCAGTCACTGTCCGCTCGTCACCGTTAGTCCCCGAGTGATGGCTCGAACTCTCGCCGCTAAACAAGCAATCAGTCAATGAGTAACTCATCAATGAATGCAACAATTAGTTCAACTCATATTAGAAATGATATCTATATTGCAATCATGAGTGATATGAGTGATGGGCTCAACATTTGTTGACAAAAATTTGATTATTACACAAACTATTACTCTATTACTGAATACAGTTTTTGATTATTGATTATTCAAATGCAATCAAAATAGCGGTAATACTGTTATTCATGACTGACTCACAACTAAACAAATTTAATATTTAGTATAATGTCATATCGATTGATACTAAAACGGCAACAAAAATATGAATCAAAAGACAAATATTTTTGTTAATTGTTTAAAAAGTGATGAAAAGAGTGAGGGATTAGATTGAGAGGTGGAGACCATAACCGCAGTGGAGAAGAGGTAACGAGAAGTAATAATCAGAGAATAGTTTTTGTGAACAACTTTGAGCTGATTTGATGCATGAAATTGTATATTAAATCCTAATTTAAACCTGAATTCAGTTTCTCCTGACGTGAGCCCAGAATGACTTTCAGAATCCAATTGACTGATCCTTTAAACAAAAGATTGCATCGAAAACATTGTGTGAAATCAGTTCATCAGTTCATTCGCTCATTAATTGCTTTCAAATACAAATATTCTGTATTTGTTTTTAACATAAAATTAAGTATTATTTTATGGCATCAGAAAAGAAATGCAGGAATTTATTGGTTGTGAAACAAATGCTTCGATTGTGAACCCAATGCCCGACATCTCTCTCATCATTGCTTTCATAGTGTATATATAAGCGCGAAATGAGTCAAATGGTTGGCCATACCTGTCGTGTTCCTTCTCCACCAAATGATACCGAGCTCTGAAAGCAACCAAATGGGCGTAATATGCGGGCGCCGGGATCGACACCGAGCGCGTACAGCGCACGTATGTGTGACACAACTGATATGTTAGACATTGGAGTTCATCTGCAAACACAACAATCAAATGATTGCAATTCAAACACAACTCAATGAATGCAAGCAATAGTGAATACCGGCTGAAAATTGGTTGTCATCCCAGAGGACGTGGTAATGAGACGGACGACTCGTTCCCTAATACACAACATTCGAGTGATTAGTCAACACAACTATGGCAACAATGAGGTCATACTTGAATGCCGGCGTGAGAGCACAGGTAGAAGTCAAACTCGGTTGGGTGAGTGATGCCAACGTCCACTGTAGTACCGGCCGGAATGTTCCCGCTTTTGCCGATTTGTTCCCTCTTATCGGCGCAGAAGAGGCGCGTGTGGTGTCGCTTCTGGACGACGATGAATGTGATGCCCGGCCTGTAATCGTCTTCCAATTTCATGCACGCGCTCCGGACGGCCAACAATTCGTGAGCCAACACCTGATGGAACTGACCCTCAGATACACCGTCGCGATAGAAGATAATACGGTTTGGCTTAAAACGGGTCGACTTATAGAACTGAATGAGTAGTTCCTTAACCATTGTCGACAAGTCATGAATGATTTCCTGCCGGTGCTGTTGAACACGAACGGTAGCCGCATATCTGCTCGGGTGGGCGTCCATAGAGCCCACCACAGCCGCAATGGAAGGCTTCTTGTTATCACCAGCCGGAGGGTGAGTGACATCTGCCCCCAAGAATATCACAGGCTCGTTGAACACCTTTGGCCTGTGGGCATACGGCACCGGTATGTGAGACAACTGTTACGCAAGCAATACACTAAGACAATAGCAAAGGTACAGACCTTATGTTGGGCACCAGAATGTTGTTAATTCCGCCCAATTTCACGTTAATCTTGAGACACAGATTGGAGAGGGTTTGGGGCGAAGTCTTGTTGACATTCTTTGCCTGAACGCACTGAGTGGCCATCCCTAGCACTGTGTCGCCCACTCGCTTCACCTCTGCGTACACCGGAGTCTTTCCCGGCAGAACCACAACCACCAGTTGCAGGCCTTGGAATGTCTGCTTCAAGTAGCGGAACATAGGCTCCACCTGATCGGGACCGGTAGCGTATTTGCAGAAACATGGCTGTCCTATGATAGGCATTCCGGCGTCGTTTGAGATTTTCTGCAACTGTTGGGTGAAGTTTCTGAGAGAGTCCTCACGACAGGTGCGCTGCGGCGCGAAGCAGGCTATAGACCAGGTCCTGATCTCTACGCCGGTGTGGAACTGTTTGCCGCGCATATCCCATACGCCCTGATTGGGAATGGCCTGTTGTTTGGTGCGTCCGCCGTACTGCAGTTTGGGCGGCGGTAATACCCGGCCCTTCACTTCCATCATCATATTACTGATCGATAGACCGAACTCTTTAACGTAGGGATCGTTATTAAAGTCCGCTTTATTCACCAGATTATTGATCTCCCGTTCCCTGTCGGGTGCTGACCGTGCGGTGGCTTTGATCATAGTCGAGGTCTGCATGTCCGTCAACTTCTTGATACAGCGCTGACCGGCAACTATATTGCATACTTCGAGCGGGAGATACGTGTGTTTGTGCTCCTGTCCCACTTGAAGGCATGGCAGGTGAGGGTACCTCAGCTTCATCTTATACTTGTCCAGGAAGTACTTGGCAACAGTGCACTCGACGGTCTGTCCGTTTTCCAACTGCAACGGAAATGACTGCAACTGAGCCGGTCTTCGCGTCACATTACAGACGCGGTATTTGCGACGCATTGCTCCGCAATGAGTGATCTCTATCTTCAGGCCTTTAATCTCTTTCGTGAACTTCACTCTTTGCGAGTCAGTCAACGGCTTCCTCTGCTCGTTGATGTCCCGGATGTCCAACACTTCGCACATGAACTCCACGACCGGCTGAGCCTTATAAAAGGCGGTGGCGCTCACGTCGATGTTCAGAGTCATCTTCCATTGTGATGGACGTACGCTCTGATGGAAACCAAACCACACTTCCCGTCCGCCCCCTAACGGATGGTAATAGCCGTCCGGCGATGAGAAGAATGAACGGCCAACCGGTGTGTATGTCATTGACGGCAAATGTCTCATCACAACGTCCAGGGCTTGTATGGAGTCCAATGGGATGGCCCGTGAATTGCCCTCAAGTGCCTCCTCAAGGGTATTGAGGCTCACCTGAGAGACCCACTTAATAGCCACCCGAAACACCCTATCCTTACCCTCGCCCGGAAGGGTAACCTCTAACTCGACCTAAACACAAGTAAACCATTCATAAGGCACGTGTGAATGGACAGTATGTCTGCACACAAACCTTATCTCTGCCAATGGGGAGGTCGTCCCGGGTGTACATGTTTTTCCTCCCGTCGAACACCGGTTTCTGAGTGCCGAAGATCTTGGAGTACGACTGAACCATCGTTTCGATGATCTCTCTGTTGATCTTTCGCGGACACTTGTCTGGAGTGATGGTGATGTCGTAGTGGTGGAGGAACCCCCGGGGCATTGTTATCTGGAAGTGATTGGCGCGAAGAGTGATGAGTCGCCCATCCGTTCCAATATTAGGTCTTCGCGGACAGAGGAACACTGGCAACACGTTCTCCAGACTCGGCGCACCCGGAACACCCACTCCGGGCACACCCGTCATCATCGCACCCATTGGAGGCCCAATCGGTGGCTGCTGTCCGGGAGCCATCTGCGGGGGCGCCATAGGTGTCATACCTCTCGGGCCGGGGGGTCCCGGAGCTGTCGTTAAGATATATGAATTAAATCTCATTCAATTAAATGGCAATAATTGCACATAAAATGGGATTCACTTTAAAAGTAAAATATGACAAAACAATGAACGGATATGTGATAAGGAATGGTAGGCAATGGGAAACACATTCCCTGTACTCTATTCTATCATATATTCATATGTATTCTCTTCATTACTATAAATATACGGTAATAGTGAACAAATATTCATCAGGTTCTCATTACCCTAAAGTTATACAGTAGTACAGTATAAACATTCCCTGTACTCTATTCTATCATATATTCATATGTATTCTCTTCATTACTATAAATATACGGTAATAGTGAACAAATATTCATCAGGTTCTCATTACCCTAAAGTTATACAGTAGTACAGTATACAACTATTCAAACAAACTTACAAAACAAAAAATGACAAAAATATTGATTAATATAACAATTTTCTTCCATTAATTAAGAAATAAATACATTCAATACTATTTACTGTAGTTTAATACTGTATGGTATACTTTAAGTCTAATAATTAAAATTCATTATACATTCACTTATAAGTCTTTGTTTTGTTATTTTATTTAGAAATCAATTTAAGTTTCGTATCAATTAAACAATTAAATGATTATAGCCTATGATATAGTAATGAGATAATTAGACAATTATTTCAATGACTTGTATTGTATTTAACTGTAATAAATAGTGTTCTGTACAATACAGTCAATATCATATACATATAGTAGAGTAGTGTATATTAACGTAATACTGTTTCACCAGAATGTGAAATGCCCTCAGATTAGTCATCAGGCATTCACATTCATTATGTAACCATTCACAATATTTTCATAAATAAGCTAGACCATGGTAAAGTCAATCACACTCTATTACATTACATTCAATTCATCTAATACTGTAGTGACAATTGGTGTGTGCATTGAGTTCATGTGAACAGTACTGTAAGTTACGGTACAAACTGTGCTGTCTATAAATGCCACAATTGTCTCATTGCATCCAATTTGAATTCATTTCATGCATTCTTATATCAAATAGTGTACAGTATATAGAGGTTGCATAGCCCTGCCATACCATACCATTGTCACTGGTGTGACAATAGTGTCAATAGTGAACAATGAATGTGTGAATGTGATGCAAATGGGGAGCACAGGTAGGCTATGGGTTATAGGCAATGGGGTTGGGATGGCTAATACAATGACCCCATATTGCCATATCACATATCATGTACTGTACATATACCATATAGCATGCATTCATTAGAACTCATCAACTATAGACATAGACATAGCCATAGACATAGCCATAGACATAGACATAGACATAGACATAGACATAGACATAGACACACATATGATACATGGAAGTGATGGAAGTGATACATACGTTGACCACCCAATGGATACATAATGGGAAGGATGTCTTCAAATATAAAGGCGTTCGTAATGAACAGATAAGATGAGACCAAATCACACTTGAATGGGGAAAGACATCATTCAACGCATTGCCTAACTATAACAATAATTGAGTCATTTTGTTGTCTTTAATATATACGGTATTTAAGTAAACAATATTTGCATTTGAATCAAACAAACCAAAAGTTGGATTAATTAAGAACACAACCAATCCAATTTTATTACAATATTAAGAGTTTATGTATAAAGTGTTCAATCCATTTATTGACTAAATATATAAATTTATTTAAAATACTTATATTTAAGTTATAAAATACATATATTAATTTTATTATATAACTATTGACTGCATAATTAGTTGATGACCTTAATATGATTGCACTCTATTTTACATATAATTAAATGATTGTTTCAATAATTATTAGTCTTTTGCGGTAATATACTGTACGCGTACTCTAATGTTTAGTCACCTGTTGAGCAGTGGTCTGAGCAGTGGTTCTTTGGATAATTCAATGATTTCTTGACGAAAGGCATCAAAAAGTCTTCGTTTGTAAGAAGCGAACGATTTTCGGCACATTTGACGAAGAGTTCAATCAAGTGATGGTCTTCAGGAAATTTGTGCTTAAATAAAGACATCATTCAACGCATTGCCTAACTATAACAATAATTGAGTCATTTTGTTGTCTTTAATATATACGGTATTTAAGTAAACAATATTTGCATTTGAATCAAACAAACCAAAAGTTGGATTAATTATGAACACAACCGATCCAATTTTATTACAATATTAAGAGTTTATGTATAAAGTGTTCAATCCATTTATTGACTAAATATATAAATTTATTTAAAATACTTATATTAAAGTTATAAAATACATATATTAATTTTATTATATAACTATTGACTGCATAATTAGTTGATGACCTTAATATGATTGCACTATATTTTACATATAATTAAATGATTGTTTCAATAATTATTAGTCTTTTGCGGTAATATACTGTACGCGTACTCTAATGTTTAGTCACCTGTTGAGCAGTGGTTCTGACCTATTAAGTTACTAAAGAACTGCTTTCCGTAGTTTTTCAGAAGCAAACATTCTTCGCTTGCTAAAAGCCGTGTAAACTGCTTCTCAAGTTAGTTCACTACCAGAAGTCCTTTAAACACGAATTTATCATTCATTAGATTTGTGTCCAAATGGTCGACAATCACGTGGATCTGTGTTTTGTCGATGCGTTTGACTAAATAATCACAAAATGAGTGCAAATGAGTGGCAATGAAATGATGACATTCTTTGAGATTAAATAAGAAGTCTTCTCTCATATAAGTGTTGAAAGTCTTGTTGTCTTTCACGAGATTAGAGAAGTAAGAGATAAGTCGTGAATGCATTGCCATTACATTGACGTCCAGTTCCGTGGGCTCTGTCCACAAGAAGGTCTCACTTATGATCAATGATAACAATTCGATGGGAAGTCTCGGCTCTATTGCCAGAAACGACAGCACTTTCAGAGACTTTAGTTTATAGAAGATGTCCACGAATTTCGGTTTAAACGACTCGCAGGTCTTGGCATTAAAGAAGTGTTTGTCCGCTTTAGATGTCATAGCCATGCATGTGATCACCAAATTGAGTCCAATGAACGACCATTGAATGCATTTCCAGTATTTGTACTCATTTTCGGTGTCACTATAATTGGACACAAACTCACCGCACGTTTGCATCTCGTGTTCAAAGCCTCGACATAACACAAGCATTTGCATCCATTGCCCACTACTCACACCATCTCTGCTCTTCACTGAAGACACCACACTGTCAACCAGTTTACCACTCAATCGCTTATATAAACCACAAATGCTTTGCTTCGGAAGAATGGCATCCGCGTTGACAGTGAAGTAGCCATTCATTAGAAGTGCATTCAATCGGTTGAGTGAGTAATATGCAGACAACTCGACCAATGAGTACAACACTGTCTCCTTCCTGTCCACCACTTCCATCACTTCCATCACTCATACCATTGTGATGACACTGTGATTACATTTGGTACTTTCGCACATGATTGGCTCTCGTGGTGCGTCGGTGAGTCGCGAGAGGGCGTCGTATGAGTGATGAGTGAGTGGTGTTTGAGTGCATTGAGTGGTGTTGTGGTTGTGGTGCAGATGTGTTGCAATTGTCGGCCATTTTGAGGGTTGAGTTGTGCCACAGACACAGACAGACAGACACGCAGACCATCACTGACCACATCCATCGCCATCACCGCACACTCGCACTCGTTGACACTGGTTGGCCGACTCAACCGTCTCTATTGACGGGGTAAGTTCACACTAAACCAGAGTAGAATAGACAAGTAATGCTTGCGGAAATATAAACTTCTGTAGGAAGGGTAATACATAGGTAACCCACCAGTTGCATACATAGTGAAGGTAGTGAAGGTACACACCCATGTATCATATGTGTGTCTATGTCCATGTCTATAGTTGATGAGTGCTAATCAATGCATGCCTGTATGTACAGTATATGTACAATATATGATAGTGATATGGCAATATGGGGTCATTGTATTAGCCATCCCAACCCCATTGCCTATAACCCATAACCTACCTGTGCTCCCCATTTGCATGACATTCACACATTCATTGTTCACTATTGACACTATTGTCACACCAGTGACAATAATATGGTATGGCAGGGCTATGTAACCTCTATATACTGTACACTATTTGATATAAGAATGCATGAAATGAATGCAAATTGGATGCAATGAGACAATTGTGGCATTTATAGACAGCACAGTTTGTGGCCTAACGCAGTACTGTTCACATGAACTCAATGCATACACCAATTGTCACTACAGTATTAGATGAATTGAAGTAATAGAGTGTGATTGACTTTACCATGATCTAGCTTATTTATGAAAATATTGTAAATGGTTACATAATGAATGTGAATGCCTGATGACTAATCATCGGGCATTTCACATTCTGGTGAAACAGTATTACGTTAATATACACTACTCTACTATATGTTATGTATATCATATTAACTGTATTGTACAGAACACTATTACAGTTAAATACAATACAAGTCATTGAAATAATTGTCTAATTATCTCATTACTATATCATAGGCTATAATCATTTAATTGTTTAATTGATACGAAACTTGAATTGATTTCTAAATAAAATAACAAAACAAAGACTTAAGTGAATGTATAATGAATTTTAATTATTAGACCTAAAGTATAGCATACAGTATTAAACTACAGTAAATAGTATTGAATGTATTTATTTCTTAATTAATGGAAGAAAATTGTTATATTAATCAATATTTTTGTCATTTTTTGTTTTGTAAGTTTGTTTGAATAGTTTTATACTGTACTACTGTATAACTTTAGGGTAATGAGAACCTGATGAATATTTGTTCACTATTACCGTATATTTATAGTAATGAAGAGAATACATATGAATATATGATAGAATAGAGTACAGGGAATGT